ACACAAAAACAACGTGAGCCCCTAAAACATATCCTATACTTGCATATTTTCACTTAAATTTTGGGATTGGGTCAAACCCACGCACCATTAGTTTGTTCTGTTGAGCATGTGGAATATGCAACTATCCCTAATTTGGATTTCAATGATTAGGAAGCATCCTACTATGTCCTCACAAATAATCTAGTACATGCTCTAATGTAGATGTGGTTTTCTAAGTTCTAACCTAATTCAATGATTTGAAATTCAAATTGAAAAGAAAATTAGATTTAGGGTGTCAATATAGATCTTAAAGAATTTGAGTGCCAAAATGGGAAAATGGCCTTCGAGTTTCATATGTTGATGATCATGGAATTTGTTTAGCTATTTCTTGTTGAGATGTTGATTTCCTTGCATTATAATATTGTCGAAGACTCGAACATGCAATCAACCAAATCGTATAAATAAAGCCCATAATCTTCTCAAAAAGAAGAAAAAAATCAAAATCCTCCACAACATAAAAAAGTTAAGTCCATTTTCGAAATGAGCTACAAAAGCTGAGGAGTGAAGAAAAAGAGCCTGTTGAAATGGAGGGCAATCCAAGTACAAAAAAATAAAAATAAAATAAGCCTCATCAGATTTCATCCAGAAGGAGATAAATAATAAAATATAGAAGCACATTCAAATAGGCCTGCCCAATAATAAAACTAGACAGATTAAGTCGCTAAAAGCCCAAAATGTAAGTGAAAAAAAGGAAACAGAAAAAGAAACTCACTTCCATACATCCATTACACATATTCCTTAACCATTCAAATTCTTAACAATTACATAACATTATTCATGAGTTAGTAGAATTGATTTATATATTATAACATTCATTTTAAAAAACAATTAATCCTATTGTTTACTATAACCCCTTATGAATCTAAAACCCATTCAAATTTCCATTGTATAACCACCTCTATTATATATTATCGTCGTCTCAAGTCTAGGTCACAACCATAATTGTTTTCTTTCTCCAACCATACTAATCACAACCTTAGATCAAAAACAACATTCTAACTTACACAAAAATAAAAATAAAAAATAAAAATAAAAAAAAATAAAAAGAAGAAACTCATCACCATTAGTCTAAAAAAAGGATCAACAACTTCAACCTAGACTAATAAAAAAAACTACCACTAGTTACCAACACACAACAGCCAAACACGTCAACACAATTTGATTGTCCAAAAATAAAAACCATTTCTGACGATCCTTCGCACCTAATAAGGCAAACCGTACCCAAAGTTCACCCACCACCAAAAGAAGAAAGAAGGCAAAAAATTAGTCTTATCTTCCCTTATATCTTCTACCTCTATTCATTCACTACCAAAAATCTAGCCAAGTCGTCGTCATCACTGCCACTTGTCATTATTATCATTTTAATTATATAGCTACAATTGTAACCTTAATGGGAGACTATCACTTCGTCATGCTTGATGCCATCATCCAAGCATGAGAAGTTCCCCTCTGTCTTGTCACTGGACGTTGCGATCACCTTCGTAGTCTTGATGTCAAGATCGCGCCCTCCATCTCCGTCTCTGACAAGTGGCACTCATCATTGTTACCAACCCTGGTGTAATTAAGCGTGCCCTTTGTTCTTTTTCTTCTTTTTTCATTCTCTCTATTTCTTAGAGAGAAAGGGAGGAAGGTGGACTTGACTATCTTTAAAAATATATAAAAATATAAGGTCAGTCTCGCCAAACACTCCAGACAAACCTAAATATAACGAAACACAAAAAAGGTTGAAACGCAACACACATGCAGCATGTTTTTCATTTTCTTCGCTCGTGTGAAACCTTACGTGACTTTTAACCAATTCAAAAGAAAAAAAGAAAAAAAATCGAATCCTCCTTTCTCTCCTGTGATCATCCTTGACATTCTGTAGAGGTTCTTCCTCTGTTGTTGGAAAATCGAGGACGAATTGGGTCTTGGCCAGTTCTGAAGGAATTTTTGCTTTAAATTTTAGGGTTTTGTGGATTTTGGACATCAATTATTAGAATTATAAAGATTCATTCTTAAGATTAAAGTTGGATCTTCAATTTCATCTAAAATTTGTTAATTTCCCCATTTTTGAAGAATTTGTTGCTTGATTTTTTGTTTGTCCTCATTGATACTCTCAAAATATGTTACGAATCGGCCAATCCTTTGTACCAACTAAAATTTAAAGAAACACCTAGGAGAAACTACATATCTCTCTCCATGATCAATCTTCGTGCTAGTTTTTTGTTTGTTTAAATTATTATTTGTAATTTGTCATGCCTATTTGTTGATAGGCATTATGATTTATTTTTTATCATTCTCTCATGAAATATACCTAACACTAAAAAAACAATAAATATAGTTTGTACAATACATCTCAAAAGCATTTAATAACGAATGGTTAAGATCATCACTTTGTAATTAAGTACAACATAGCATGTATTAACAGTTACTAGTCATTACGATTTACAAGCCATTAATAGTTCACAAGCAAAATAAAATTATACAACAAATAATTACTTCTCTTTCAACAACCAAGGACTAGCTGATTCCAAATCTAACCAATAATAGATGTGGATGTGAAGTTGTGAGGTGTAAACTCTCAAACAAATAATAACAGCAGATTCTTTGAACAATAAATTAACCAGGTGGTCTGACCTTATGTCCTTTATGAATTCTTTAGCATGTGATGCAAATAAATCCTTATAGTATTAGCCATGATGTATAATGTATAGCGTTAATTACAAATAGCTCTCATGTACTATCTCCAATTGCAGATAGACCCCTTGCAGTTCTATTATTTTAGATAGACCCCTTAGTTAAAATTTGGACTCTTTTACTAGAGAACGAGAAAATTATTTTCTGTGACCGTTGCTTAGTGCACAAGATTTCAAAATGCATCATGTGGTCATGGGATAACATAACAAAAGTTCCTCCAAATATCAAGGAAATGACCTGAAGTTAGGGGATGCAAAAAAATGTCCATATCCACGAACATATTCGTATCCATATCCGTATATGTTAGGATACAAGTATGATTACTAAAATCTATAACGACTGTATAAGGTTATGGATATGGTTATAAGGTTATGAATATAGTTATGTAGTGAAATAATGATTATATAGTGAAATATCCGGAACCCTATCCAAAATATCCGAATATATGTTAATCATACAATTGAAGTTGTTTTAATCCTTAGATTAATGTATTTGGGACTAATATTGATGATGAAGAGATTTAATCACCATTTAAATATAACAAATATATTAATGAACTCTCTTGTATTATACAAACTATATATATATATATATATATATATATATATATATATATATTATTTGATTTTCTCTTATCTG